GGCGGGGGGGGGGGGGGGGTGGGGGGGGGGGAGTGAGGTTTCCCTGAAATAGGGCTTCCAGAAAACCAACATGGGTTTTTGGTACATCATAAATTTTTGTTGGTCAAATTCAATCAAAAATATCTGAAAATACTTCGTTTTATAGATCGTGCCGTAGCAGTACGTAGAAGATCGCTTAGATCCATCGAGATTCTACGAAGATCTCTGGAGAACTATCTTGAGTTTTTTGGTATTTTGCATTGATACGTATGTCTATATAGACCAGTACAGCAACGTTAATATTTTAACTCTTACAAAAGCCGTTTTTTGCAAGTATAAGAAGAAGAAACCGCGGCAGAACGTGTTAACGTGTGTATGTTTTTATGTCTGAGGTATTGGATGTTTTACGGCAGTTGATGCGATTTACTGCCAAAGGATCGAATTGATGAAAACTACGAAGTCCGTGAATCCAGCCTGTCAGAAAAGGAAGGAAATTTTTTATCAATGGCAGAAAGGATGATCTGACCTTTGACAGCCTTTTGAGTCAGCCGTTTGCTCAGATTCATAGACTCAGAGTTTTGCTTGATATCTTGCCGGCTGAGATAAAAGACGTTGATTTTGGTGTCGGTTGAGGCGAATTGATAAAGCTCTTGTGGCGTTAGTATGGCATCTGCTCGTCGCCCACTGAGCACTCGACGAGTTGCACGGTATTTCAGAGCCGCCCCGATCCCGTCAACTGAACCTTTCCCATGTGCTGTAGCAGAGAATGTCCATACGGCAGGGATTCCGAAGTCACTCTCGTGATGAGTCAAATTCAGCATCGACTTGTTGCTCTTGAAGTGTTGAGGAGCTCCATCGGTGATATAGTTAACTCGTTTCACGGTGGGATAGCGATGACGAATGAATTGAACAATTACACCTTGAGCAGCATGAACAAAATCAACATTATGGTCAAGGTGATCGCTAACAAAAGCGAGGCTGTGGTGAGTGGTTTTGTCTACAGTGATGTGCACCGTAAAAATGATGGCTTGTGGGGTTGTCCAGTGAGCTTGCTGAATCTCGTGCTGAACAATCAGCGAATGATTTTCGGCAAAGTCCATTTGGACTACCGCTGTTCTATTTGCATGAACTTCTTCTTTAATCTTTTTAATGTATTCTTGCTGTTGACGAGTGCAGTAGTGATGGACAGCAAACTTTGCCCACTTGACATCGAACTCCTCAAGCAGATCATGAATCGAGCAGCTGACACGTTGCATTGAGATCTTTGCAACTGTGGTCGGGTCGTCTTCAGCATCGCCCACCCTCTTCGACGACACAGGCTGAAAAGAATCAACTTTAGGTTATACGTAGACAACGCACAGAGGGAGACGCTCACTGATTTCCAAGTCATCCAAGAAACACTATCATCAGCTGTCACATTTTGCAAACCCAGAAGCTCACTGAAAAGAAAGCTACCAGGCAGCAGCCACTTGCAGTCATCACACTCTCGAAAATAGCATGTTTCCGTTTGCGAAGTACACACACGTTCAGCTTTGAGACTTTTCATATCCATCGTAGTGACATCCAGGTTGTTCCAACCCTATCAAACAAAATAGATCCTGGGCTCCTATATGTAGAATTCTACCTGAAGGAGTAGTTCGAAGTTCTCATGATAGATGCAAGTACAAACATCGTGTGGCTTCTTAACCTTAATCCATTTCGGACGAAGAGCATAAAACCTCGATTTTTGTACAGAACTGGATGACTGGTTGGCTTGCAACTGTTGTACAAAGAGTTGATAGGCTTGGCCTACAGTCATTGACATGTATCGAATGGCAACGGGATTCTTTTGGATGTGAATTACATCATGTTTATTTGGAGACTGGCGGCTGATGGCATCGTCACTGTAGAAGTCGATGATCTCTTGTACGAGGAGTGGGTCAAGAGGGGTATTGCCGCGCCAGTCAACAGGTACCGCCAGCTTGCCGTATGAGTGACGAAGAGAGATGGCCTTCTGAGCCAGATAGCGAGAGCATTCGAAGTATTCCTCAACTTTCTTTCGTCCCATTCAGGTGGAGCCAGGGTAAGAAGACGAATCTGGTCGTCTCTGTCACTGGAGTTTATCAAAAGCTTAAAACCGTCGAGAAGATATTCCTTATCAGCGAGTTTAAGCGATGAGTGACTTGAGAGCTCGGTGATGTCTTTCGTGTGTCGCAATGCTTCTGCTGCGGATCGAATCAGTTCGACAGCCATCGTCACTTGTTTGTCTAGTTGATTTGTCTGTCGCCTAAACGGGAACCAAGTTAAGAAATGGAAGATACGACGATGTACTTACACATCCCTAATCTTCGGAATTCCCAGTATCTGGAATATTTGATTCAGTAGTTCTTTGGACTGTTGGAGCTTGTATTTCATTTCGGCAGTGTCTGCCATGCTTTCGCTTTCCGCAGACAACGGTGAGAAGACCGGTGAATCGACTGCTATTGCATCTACTTCCACTAGATCAGAGCTGTAGAAACTTGAACTACTGCGTCGCGGATGTTTGCCATCAGATTCTCTCGATTTAGCATCTTCCACGGCCAAATGGTTATGAAATCGAGTTGACTCTGTCTCGTAACAAGTTCGACATAGAAGATCACCTTCAGATAGGGTGAATCCAACATTCGCATTCGCTTGATAATACTCTTGTGCAATGAACGCGGCAAGATCATTATCAATAGGTCGAGTTCCGCGTGGACGAAGAGCGCCTGGACCCGACTTTCTTGCACCTTGATGAGAGATTGGATGAGCGCACCACTTCTGATTGCTTCGAGGCATCTCTAACTCAACAACCTATACCACTTTTTGCTCGAATAATGCGCGCCTCTAAAGTAGGAAAAATTAACATAATTTCAAACGATACATTCGAACCTTTACGTGTTTATTACCGTATATGTTCTCTCACACTTACCTCAAAACAACATAGTACTATTGAGGAGTGAATACCAGATTCACAAAAAGAAACGAAAAAAGAACGAAATATCCGTACGTGCAGGAATTTACTGGATAATGGACGAGATACATTAAGAAACAAACCGAACAACACACAAAACAGAACAGAAAGAAAGCAGGAGAGAAAATACCACAGAACAAAGGGAGACCAGTTATACGAGAAAGGCACATGTATAAGACCATGACAAAGTCATCTCTTGCTACCCTTTCTCGTCATTTTCAAGTTCTCACTTGGATTTAGTAAAGCTAGATCCAAGATAGTTCTCCAGAGATCTTCGTAGAATCTCGATGGATCTAAGCGATCTTCTACGTACTGCTACGGCATGATCTATAAAACGAAGTATTTTCAGATATTTTTGATTGAATTTGACCAACAAAAATTTATGATGTACCAAAAACCCATGTTGGTTTTCTGGAAGCCCTATCTCGAGGAAACCTCACCCCCCCACCGCGCCCNATTAGGTAGAGAAGTAGATATAAAAGAAGAGAGAAATAAGTAAATGACTGCTACGAAGTATATGAGAATTTTTAACAAAATTCAATGGTTATTTTTTTTTATTCGAGCTTTCAGTGAAATTCTTTCACTTTAACACTGGATATAAAAGAATTTTCGTACTGTTAACGAATCAAAATCATTCATGTCAATTTTATGTATTCATAAAAGTACACAAATTGTAAAAAACAGTTGCTCGATTTTAGAAATGAAACCATTGTCAAAGACCGGGACCGGGACTAAAAAGAAATATTTGACCGGGACTAAAAAAGTGATTTTGCAGTTCCCTACTATGTATTTTTGTTTGAGCTGCTGGATGTTATACGACAGTTGATCCGATTAACTGCCAAAGGATCGAATTGAGGAATACTACGAATTCCGTGAATCCAGCCTGTCAGAAAAGGAAGGAAATCTTTTATGAATGTTAGAAAAGATGATCTGACCTTTGACAGCCTCTCGAGTCAGTTGTTTGCTCAGATTCATAGATTCAGAGATTTGTTTGACATATTGCTGGCTGAGATAAAAGATGTTGATTTTGGTGCTGATCGAGACGAATTCGTAAAGCTCTTGTGACGTTAGGATGGCATCTTCTCGTTGCCCACCGAGCGCTCGACGAGTTGCATGGTATTTTAGAGCCGTCCCGATCTCGTCGACTGGACCTTTCTCATGTGCGGTAGCAGAGAATGTCCATGCGACAGGGATTCCGAAGTCACTCTCGTGATGAGTTAAATTCAGCATTCACCTGTTGCTCTTGAAGTGTTGAGGAGCTCCACCGGTGATATAGTTAATTTGTTTCACGGTGGGATAGCAATGACAAATGAATTGAACAATTACACCTTGAGCAGCATGAACGAAATCAACATTAAGATCAAGGTGGTCGCTAACAAAAGCGAGGCTGTGGTGAGTGGTCTTGTCTACAGTGACGTGCACTGTAAAAATGGTGGCTTGTGAAGTTGTCCAGTGAGCTTGTTGGATCTCGTGCTGAACAATCAGGGAATCATTTTCGGCAAAGTCCATTTGGACCACCACTGTTCTATTTGCATGGGCTTGTTCTTTAATTTTTTTATGTACTCTTGTTGTTGACGGGTGCAATAGTGATGGGCGGCAAATTTCGACCACTTCACTTCGAACTCCTTAAGCAGATCACAAATTGAGCCGCTAACACGATGCATCGAGATCTTTGCAACTGTGGTTGGCTCATCTTCAGCATCGCCCATCCTCTTCGACGACTCAGGCTGCAAATAATCAACTTTGGGTTATACGTAAATAACGAAGAGAGGGAGATACTCATCGATTTCCACGTCATCCAAGAAACATTATCATCAACTGTCACATTTTGCAAATGCAGAAGCTCACTGGAAAGAAAAGTACTAGGTAGCAGTCACTTGCAGTCATCACACGCTCGAAAATGGCATTTCTCCATTTGCGAAGAACATAGACATTCAGCCATGAGACTTTTCAGATCCATCGTGATGACATCCAGATTGTTTCAACCCTGTGAAACAGAATAGCTTCTGTGCTTCTTTACGTAGAATCCTACCTGAAGGAGTAGTTCGAAGTTCTCATGATAGATGCAAGTACAAACACCGTGTGGCTTCTTAACCTTAATCCATTTCGGACAAAAAGCATAAAAGCTCGATTTTTGTACAGAACTGAGTGACTGGTTTGCTTGTAACTGTTGCACAAAGAGTTGATAGGCTTGGCCTACGATCATTGACATGTGTCGAATGGCAACTGGATTCTTTTGGATGTGAATTACATCACGTTTGTTCGGAGACTGGCGGCTGATGGCATCATCATTGTAGAAGCCGATGATCTCTTGTGCGAGAAGTGGGTCAAGATGAGTATTGCCGCACCAGTCAACAGATACCGCCAGCTTGCCATATGAACGACGAAGAACGACGGATTTTTGAGCCAAATAGCTAGTGCATTCGAAGTATTCCTCAACTTTCTTTCGTCCCCATTCGGATGGAGCTAGGATAAGAAGACGAATCTGGTCGTCTCGGTCACTGGAATTTATCAAAAGCTTGAAACTGCCGAGAAGATATTCCTTTTTGGCGAGTTTAAGCGATGAAAGACTTGAGAGCTCGGTGGTGCATTTTGAGTCTCTCAAGGCTTCTGTCGCGGATCGAATCAGTTCGACAGCCGTCGTCACTTGTTTGTCTAGTTCATTTGTTTGTCGCCTAAACGGAATCAAGTGAAGAAAGAGAAGATAGAATGATGTACTTACACATTCTTAACCTTCGCAATTTCCAGTACCTCGAATACTTGATTCAGTAGTTATTTCGACGGTTCGAGCTTGAATTTCATTTCGACCGTGTCTGTCACATTTCCATTTTTCGCAGACAACGGTGAGCAGACGGTAAATTGACTTCTAATGCATCTGCTTCCGCTAGGAGAGACCTACAGAAACTTGAACAACTGCGTCGCGGATGGTTGCCATCAGATTGTCTCAATTTAGCATCTTTCACGGCCAAATGAGTATGCAGTCGAGCTAATTCTGTTTCGTAGCAAGTTCGACATAGAAGATCACCTTCAGATGAGAAGAATCCAACGTTCGCAGTTGCTTGATGATACTCTTCTATGATGAACGCGACAAGATCATTATCAATAGATCGATTTCCACGTAGATGAAGAGCACCTGGACCGAACTTTTTTGCACCTTCATGAGAGATTGAATGAGCGCACCGCTTCTGATTGCTCCGAGGCATCTCTAACTCAACAACCTATATCACTTTTTGCTCGAATAATGCGAGCTTCTAAGGTAGGAAAAATTAATATAGCTTCAAACGATACATCCGAACCTATACGTTTTTATCACCCTACATGTTCTCTCACGCTTACCTCAAAACAACACAGCACTATTGAAGAGTGAATACCAGATTCACAAAGAGAGACAAAAAAACAAAGAAATGTCCGTACGTGCCGAAATTTACCGGATAATAGAAGAGATACATTAAAGAAACAAACGGAACAACACACAGAACAGAAAAGAAAGGGAGCAAGAAAGCGAATACCACAGAACAAAGAGAGAACAGTTACACGAAGAAAACACATATATAAAACCATGACAAGAAAATCCCTTGCTAACGTTTCATATCACTTTCAAGTTCTCATGTAGATTTAGTAAAACTAGTCCCAAGATAGTTTGCCAGAGATCCTTGTAGAATCTCGATGAATCTAAGTGATCTTCTACGCGCTGCTACGGCACGATCTATAAAGCGAAGTATTTTCAGATATATTTTAGTAAATTGGACCCAACAAAAACTGAAGATGTACCAGAAATCCATGTTGGTTTTCTGGAAACCCTATCTCAGAGAAATCTCACGCTCCCCGGACGGCGCACATATGCTTCGATAAATATTTTGTTGGTCTATCGAATGTCATATATCACTATACTCAGAGTTCTCTGTTAATGAGGTTTTTGGCACTGGAGTATCAGCCTACAGGAAGGGGTTCCAGAGACCGACCCCGCCCCCTCAGATGGATCGAAAGAATTGTAAAACTTATCGATTCTGATAGTCCTTGTAAGGAGGAATCCGAATCTATCATCAGAATTTCTTTAACACAAAGTGGTGCCAAACTACGTGGGTTACAAGGCAGAATGTGCCTGAAAGAATCATCCCGGAGGGCATCTAGTATTTTGACTACAGCTCTTCAGCAAAACGTGGTATAAATTTTCTCCAATGGTAAAAAAGTCTTTAAAATGATTGTTGCACAAGCTCTGAAAGTTTGAAACGATTTGGTGAAGATCGATGTAAACGTGTCACAATTGCCATGAAACCTCCCTCCTATTCTATTAAAATATTTGATTTTTCTTTTAAATGAACCATTTTCTTTGTTAAGTTATGAATCAATTAATTTACAAAAAATTTCATCATTGACATCAATTCGACCATTTTATTAGATTGTCTTTTTATATTTAATTCAAATTCAATGAAATAAATTGATCATAATAAACAAGAATCTGTTCTTATTTCTTATTATACCATCTATTCAATAATTAATTAATGATGATGAACAAGTTATGTTAATAGGAAAAGCTTGGATACTTATTTGAAAACTATTTTGTTTATGTTTAGCATCAAATAAAGAATCTGATCAAACAATATTAGATAATAATCGAATTCGTGTACTTATTAATACATTAAAAATATGAATTGTTGAATTATCTGCTCGGTAATATACATCATTAACAATTGCTACATATCATTTATTATTTCGAACATTTAATCCTTTTGTTTGCTATACTTTTGTTTTCGACAACAATTAACTACAGTAACTAATGCTAAAGATTCTTATTGACCATTTCTTTGTAAATGAGTTAACAATGAATTTATATTTTATTATTGATCGTCACCAAGTGAAATTTATAACGAAATATCGTTATTTCAATGATTAGATTATTTATGTCGTTTAACAAATGCTATTGAATTAGATTTAGTTGAAATCTATGATTGTCTTTGTTTAGCACTAAAATTTTATTCGTTTTATTGATTTTATTTACAAAACTAAATATCAATCAAAAACTATTGTGGACAGAATATTTAAATAGTTTAAATGAAATATTTCTAAAACCATTGAAAAAATAAATCGAAATAGCTCGCGTACATTATAAACTTGAAATAAAAAATCAAAAAGAAGATGGAAAGAAAGAAAATAATAAAAAACAACAAATGATTACAAAAATATTGGCTGATAATAAACTTTTGTCAGTGCCAAATAAACAAGAATGATTAGAAACATTACATTCAATAGTTATAAAATTTGATGTTCTTGATTGCATACTTACGAGGGAACCTCCCGAGGTGCCCAACGCCGATTCTCTTCATTCGTACGTCGTTTGATAGAGGGTATCGAGATAGCAAAAAGCCTAAAAGGATTTGGGCTGACAGCTCTTCCTTGAAAAGTTATGGTCGTTTTACTGATTTTT